CCATTCAGCTTTTCTGGATGGAACTAATATTAGTACTGTTCACATTCTGTAGCTCAAACAGGATTACATTGTTTATGACCTGTACAATATACTTTTCAATCTGCAAAATGTTTGATAATGTTGTTAAAATTTGACATGAAGAAAAGTTGAATGGCTTCACGTGTAACAGGACTCCAAAACGTCCCCAAGTTGGACCCCCAATTTATAGAATCACTCATATATGGCTGAAAAAGATGTCCAAAAGAAAAGGGCCACAATTGACCAAGATTTATGAGGACACTTTGTGAGTCCCTTAATCTACCTGCTCCGCTCCGTCTGGTGTTCATCTCCTTGACGAGTGTCCACTCGTCTTTGACAGGGTCGTAACGCTCCACTGAACTCAAACAATGTCTGGACGCACCGTCGTACCCGCCGACCGCGTACAGATAATCTGCAGCAGGGATGGCCATTTATCACTGTGATCTTAAGAAAGTGGTTTGCATCGCAAACATCAAATCGACGGGATGTTCCTTTACAGGATGTTGACCCTAACAGTCCTCAATCCTTCACCCGTTGGAGGACTGAGGACTGTCAGGGTTAAAGAATGAAATCCTGTCTCGGCAATAAAACAGGTACAGGCGATACTTTCAGACTGGGTTTTGACCTTCAGGAGTGTGATGTTACGAGTACTCTGTACCCTGCCCTGGTGGGCCACATTGGCCCAGGACAGGCTCCACTTGTTTGCCTGACGTGAGAGTGAATGCCTCTTATTTTTATGAGGCTGATGAGTTGCTGTAGGTGGTTGAATGTTCAGTGTCTCAGCACAGAAGTTATCACAGCCTAAGAACAAATTTTTCAGACTGCCAAGTTATGGCATAATTACTAACATCATGATATTGGGTGTGATTGCTAGCAAACTAGACTGCGTGGCTTCTGCCTAGAAGTCTGCAGGACAGGATAACGACAATCCGGACACCATCAACGCAGAACAATATAGCTCAGCCGGCTGAGAGCTGGCACCACACTACAAGGAAACGGAAGGTTTCCACATTTCATTTCAGCCACTCTGTTTCATGTGGGAAATTGATTCAGGAGCTTAGTGAACCAAATTACCATTGAGTACTGCTACGCCAACACTGCTCCGTCGCGTGTTCATGCAGGCCACTGATCTCCACTCGTTCAGCTTAGGGTCATAGGCCTCAACGCTACTCAGTCCTGCAAGACAACAGTAAAAAATCTGGATAGTGAAGATTGTACTTGGGTGCCGCACCACACAAAAATCTGTGTGTGACTGACTGATTGACTGACTGTCAGCAATGGAAAAATTGTTGCCCTGGTTCGGGATAGGGGGACTGTGTGACCTGAAAGATGGGCTTGTGGGATCCAAGTCCAACTGCTGGGCAGGAGTAGCATCCCTGGGTGAGTCAATTCAACCCCCACCCCACCCAGCAGGTGTGAATTCATACTGCGGGGCAACCTACTATTTGCGCGCTACAAAAACAGTTACCATGCTGCAACATAATTGGCGGCAACTGCGGATCAAAGATCCTTGCGCACTGTTGCAATATGGATTGTTCAACTGGGACATACAATGCCAAATGCAAAACTGAAGCTTGCAGATGTAGAGCCTAATTCTATGTAACATGGCGAAGGGTCTAAAAGGTCATGAGGGAGAATGGAAATCCTCTGAGGTGGCCTCATGCCATGGAAAATTATACTTAACACCGACCAGTTCAGCAGAAATTTGCTAGGCAAAGACATCGGTGAGAGGGAAGCTCTTTTTGGGGTCAAACCGTTTATAGAAATAATGTTAGTCTTTGAACAAAGCTACAAAGCCACGTGAAGGATGCCACATGCCAACAGCACTTAGTTTACTGGCACCTGCCAAAGTCACATTTGGAACGTACCCGTGGTGCCGTCAAACCCCCCCACGGCATAAATGCGGCTGTTGAGCACGGCCACGCCCAGCGTGCTTCGCCGGGCCTCCATGGACGCCACCGAGGACCACATGTTCCTGCTGGGGTCGTACACGTCCACCGTTCTCACGCGCAGGGATCCGTTGAAACCACCTACTGCATAGACCAGTCCGTTGAGTACCGCGATACCTGAGGGGCGGAGAGTGAAAGTGTAATGCTGGAGGGGAGACTGGCTCAGGCTAGTCTGACTTCGAAAGGCCTATTTGCACTCAGTGGGAATGTGAACTACTTAACCCCTTCACGCTGGGATTCTTTTGACCGCGACTGCTGGGCTGTGGTATGCCCAGTGTGCACAGCTCTGTCCAGCAGCAGGCCCCATTGAACCAGCAGCTGCATGGTGAATAGACTGTATGTGTGGTATGCACTAATCCTCACACAAAGCCGCGGCTCTTGTCGTCTCCCTGAGCGAAGGGGTTAGCCTCTGAACCAGTAGTGTCTTAGGGAGGGGTGGTAGAATACAATGATCTGAAGCTTTCTACACAAAACGGGGAATCTGATACAGGAAATGGATTACATGCAAAATCAGAACGGTGAACGTTGATCATGAATGTTAAACGGGGACAGGTGAATATGGATCCATGATAAAAGAACTGAATGGTGCACACATTCCCCACTGGTCTTTGAAGTCTCAATGTGTAAGTAAACTTAACCCCGTCTCATCGAGAAGCCTTAAGAGACGCCATAAAAATTGAGATCCCTCAGCCCGCTTTTCAGCTATTATTCTCGGTCCACGCTCGAGCGAACACGGTGAAAGAAGGCACACCCTGGCTCTTGTATAGATGGTGATTGGCCTTTGTGTGTTGCCAAGGAACGAAAAGGCCGAATTTGCCTCATCGTCACCAGCTTCACAATAGTCCCCACTTTGAAAAGAGGCAACAGGAATGTGGAAGCGTGAGTACAGCCACATGCCACCGAACAATGAGCCTTTTCAATGAGTAAATCAAAGCGTGCAGAGCACGCAGGGCCAAAAAACCGAGAATATGCGGTTTGGCGGGTGGCCTTCCTGGCCAAGCGAGGCTGGAATTCTCGGAGTCGGCTTTCAGAAAAAAGTCCTGGCGTCAAGGGGTTAAATGGGGCAAAAATTCTATGTGTGATAGACAAACAAAGGCGTGACCAAACTACTACTTTTTACAGTCGCCCAAAGACGTGGTCGTCTCCGGGGGGGGGGGAAAGAAGGCTGCTGCCCAGTTGCTGCCCGACCAATGGAAACATTGCAGCTGGAAAGGTCTGACATTCATCACTAGCCTGGCATTATTAAAGCAACAGCAGGACGGCTAATGCTGATATGAAAAGAGGATGGGTTGGAGAGGGAGAGAGGGGTGGGAGATCGGAATGGAAAGGGGTGTAGGGAATAGGGTGGAAAAGAGAGAGACAGAAAAAAGGGAGGGCGGACTTTGTCCTGATCTACCTGCCCTGCAGCGTCTGGACGGCATCTCAGCAGCCTGGGACCACTTCTCCTCTTTGAAGTCATACACCTCAACGCTACGGATAGCTTTAGGGGCCTGGCCTCCGACGACAAGCATAAGCTGGACGGATCACACAGAGGATTTCTGATGATGAATGCTTACACTCCGAGTAGCCTTAACTCCCCCCCCCAGCATATCACTTGGGGTGTAGGACTCACTCAGAAGTACAAAATGCTTAGTGGTAATCTGAGGCTGAAGGCCTTGCATTATGAAATATTACTTCCGATCCTGGGGCATTGGGACTGTTTGTTGTATGGGGTGCAACCAGGTCAAGTGCTTTATACAAGCTACTGTGTTTGTGGTTAAGGTGAGGTTAGGTTTAGCCGTAGAGAAAGGACGCAGGTGGACGCTCACGCTCCATGATTCAAAACTGTGGATTTATGAGCCCAGTCCGTTACCGCAGTGACAAGGCAATTTCTTTTGTTATGAAAGTCACAACTGAGTTTTGCCGAGAAAAATGTCCCCGCCACATCCACGGTCAACACATGTAGTCCCCACAACAATTATTTGTGTGCTCCTGTATAGAGGTTTTTCACGTGATGTAACATGACGAGCAAAGGCATTTTAGGAAGTGTTCCATGTTCATGGAGGCACGTGCATTTCAAATCTGGATATTTCTATTGGCAGTTTTATGTACGCTAGAATGTTAAGAGACTTTGAAGGCGCACGCTTTTCTGTGCACATGTGTAACTTGAATGCTGACCGTCAAAAATCAAGTGAGTGAAAATCCTCGGTTAAGGACTTCCGTGCTACTCAAGGACTATCGTTGCATACCAACATATATGTAAGTACCTTTGCTGTTTGCTAGCACATCATATTGAAATAAAAAAAAATCAAACATACAAGAAACTAAGATTTCTCAGGAAAGTGCAGAGATTAAAAAGGAGTAACAGAATCATTCAGGAAAGTGAAACTTCACAAGGATTATTAAACTGCATCATGAAGTAACTGAGAAGAATTTTAACGTAACTCGTTAAGCATTTTTTACTTTGGATTTTGAATCCGCCTTAGTAAAACACTGTTGACATTCTTTGTGCCTACATTTCTAAGAAGCATCAAGCCCCTTGTGAAGTAACATGAAGTGGGCTCTACCTCCTTCAATCAAACAAAGCTTTCCAATCTCTTTGTGGATTTCAAAGATATCTTGGAGGGTTAGAGCAAAAGGAAAAAAAACACAAAAATATTTCGTGAAGGAGGCTGGAACCTGTCAGACCTTTGGCAGTCCGATGGGTGTCCTGGGCTTGGTGCGGGGGTTCTTGATGAGCGCTCGCTGCTCCTTGGCTAGGAGGTGGTACTTCATGGCCTCGATCAGGTAGTCCTTGCAGCTGCTGGAGGACTTGATCAGTGGCTCCTCCTCTACCCGCTGCACCAGGTAGTCCCGGGAGAGCAGGGGCAGGCGGACGTGCTCCAGCAGGCGCGGCATGTAGTCGCAGCGATTGGCTGGCTCGCTGTTGACCCAGCCCACCACAGCCTCAAACACCTAGGGAGGAGACAAAGGAAAAAAAAGGGGAGCGCGGTTCCCTTTTTGAGCACTGTCTCTTGACTTCAGGGGTGAAGATTTGCATTAAAGACGGGGAGAGGTTTAATGGCAGTGGAATAATGAAATTTCAAATGATTCAAGTTTGAAATGAGGGTGGGGATACGAGGATCTGGACTCCACCTGACCACTGCTGTGTCAAATCAATTACAAGTCATTAACAAATCATCCACTTGCATGTGAAGTTGTAAGCGATTCAGATGAACTCTAACAAAAGCATTCCTTTGTTGCTGTTCATCCTGAATATTGACAATGCATGCTTTATGTACATTTCCATTCGTTTGCATGGGGAACTCTTTGTTACATTTTAATTTCTCACTTGTTGCTGATGTTTTTACTGGGTTTCTGTCTAGTAGAAAAATCTAGGATCAATCCCTCGTGCCAAAAATTACAAAACAGAAGAGTTTCTCTGATTCCAGGATCTGCATCCCTGTTCAAGTTTTGGAGAAACATGCGCGGCACCCATTAGTCTATCAATATCCAAGTACAAAATCATACTACACTGACCATTATAACCACAGTTTAGTACATTGTTAAATTAGTTCATGTCTTTGCCCGAGGGGTCTCGGGTGTATTGTTGTAGTGGGTGCTTACCTCTTCTTCTGTGGGCACAGTCAGGTGGTCGCTGCTGATCAAGTCGCTGACTTGGTCGGCAGACAATGCAGTGAACTCATCGCTGTGGACAACGGCGCTGTACAGACACGAACCAATAATTCACATATTAGAAAAAGTCTCAATATTCGAAATGGTCACAACGGAGATTAACTGCCTAATTCACTGCCTTGGGACAGTCACAGCACCCTCTATTGTTGAAAAATTCGTGGGTGTTGTTATGGGATGGCGCGTTACTGGAGCGTAGTGGACTGAAGTTTTTTGAACCCTACAATTGTTTTCTTGCTCAATATTTGTGACTTCACTTAAGCTTGTACAGAACCAGGAGACCGTGTAAAGTGTAAGAACGCTCCAAGTTTGTATCACCTGTATCCGCCCCGAGCTGGAGTGCCAACCCCAATTGGCGAAAGAAAGACAGGTGGTTACAAGTGGGTTCTTGCACGCGTTCTGCATGTATGCAAAGACCTTACATACCGGAATAAATCAGTTACGCGTATTCAGTGTGCTTCAAGTCAAACGTGTATATACTTGTGTGCCTCAAGGCACGCCTAAGCGGTAAGTACCAAAAACACGCCCTGTTTTGTTCCGCTCGGAGCAGATTAGACCAGGAATGTGGCGAAAACCACTGCCAAGTGAGAGGCTTGAAGTTGAACTGTACATGTATCGGTGAACTGTGTTTGTTTTTCTTGAGCAATTGGACGGTTACAAACTTGATCTCAGGCTCACTCTTGTCCGTCACAAACACATGACATTGGGCCATCAACAGACCTAGAATGGGCCCAAACTTGGCACATAGAATTGTACATCACCAGTAAACTTACATTTTACAGTGCAGACCCAAACTCCCCAGGTAATATGCTGTGAGGCTTACAGAACCGTCCAATGCATATGAAACCACTGGCGCATTCTCCATACTTCGGTTCCAACTAACTACTATGTACTGAACAACACATCTCATTGGCTGGTCACAATTAAACGTGGGGCCACTGACCAACCGTGGTGCAGCTTTTGGCTTTGCAGGCCTACCTGAAGTGCTGCATGGTGTAGTTCTGCGCGTAGTGGTAGAGCTCGCTGCAGGAGTGCATGTCGGCGAAGGCCCTGATGCCCAGGCAGTTGGTTGGGTGGAGTTGCTTCTGGAGGAAGTCGCAGCAGGCGCTGCGGACGTCGATCAGCTGCAGCAGGCTGGCTGCTGGCAAGAGTGTCTGACAATGTAAGCAAATGATACCAGTGATGATAAAGAAAGACGATATCGATTAAAATGATGTGGTGGCGGTTATGACTGTAGTAACTGCAATGGCGCCAACATTGTTGAGGCAACAATATGGCAACAGAGGAGATGACGATCATGACAATAATGATCAACATGATAAATGTGACCACCATAGTTAACCCTTACTCTCTTCAATCCTCCAACAGGTGAAAGATTGAAGTCTACTGAAAGAGTGATTTAACAAACGAGAAAAAAGCTTCAACCTCTTGAAGCGTTAATGATTTGATCTCCTGCATACTGAAAACAGCCCTTTCAAGATTAATATCCATTTGAGTTAGTCATTCTGCATTACAAACTGTTGTGAAAGCCATTTTATGATGTGTTCAATTATTTGATTAATTTGTAACTATTCCTTGTGCGGTGTCCTGCCTCCTTTCAGAGGCAGTCAGGTGCCTACTTTATTGCCGATCCTGAGCAGCTGTTACATGTATATTCTCTTGCTTCTGCCCAACGACTGTTTCATGAACGGTTTGCAGGCAGTCCCAGCTCACCTGGACATTTTCCTCCGTCACCTGTATCTCGGAGGTGTACACGTAGTCCAGCAGCAGGGCCAGGGCGCTGCCGTCAATCTCCTGCAGGATGATCTTCTGGGCGCGGCTCTCAGACAGCTCGCTGGTGAACATGGCCGAGAAGTACGGGCTGCAGGCCGCCAGGACCACGCGATGGGCGGGGAGCTCCACCCCCTCTGCTTCCAGCGTCACGTCGCACAGTATATTTTGTCTGAATGTTGAAACGAAAAAAGTGCCCACACTGAAAAGGCCCAGAGAACATAAGTAACCAATTTACCACAAGCCAGTTTCAGCATAACGCAATGTTGGCACTTTGGAAAGTTATACTAAGAGAATCTTTAATAGTACAAAGTCCTCACAGATGTGCAAAGTTGAGATGCACGGGACATTTTACACATACGTAAAAAACAATACTTGAGCCGCTTGGATGACCTGCGTTTAAATTTGAAGCAAATCTGGATGCTAAACTTGTGAATGCTGTCAAAATGTATGGTCCAACTATAGAATCCACCGATGTCACTCATTCAAATTGCGTTCACTTCCAGCCCATTATGATATACCATGCCAGTATCTATTGCCATCAAACAACTTACGGCACCTTGCTGCATGATCTCACGTGCTTGTGCTTACATGTCTGAAGCCAATCCTTTTTTACCCTTAAGTGGAGAGCAGGGGACTTACCGTCTGAAATCGTTGAGGATATCAAACGCCCGCTGGGTGTGGAGTATGTTGCGATAGGGCGGAGGGTCGATGGGAAGCAATTCCATGTCTTCCATGGTTACTGAATGGGATTCACTCCGGCTCTCTAGAAAGGACTGAACAGAGTCCAGTTAAGAATGCTGTGTTCAGGGGAAAGTTATGTCGTGGGGACCTGGATTTTTGTTCAGTTATGGCAGTTATGGGTCCTGTGCGAACTAAAACAGCTGAGGGAAAGAATGGGAAAAAAGGCAGCATCATTCAACATCAAATCAATGTGATTTTTGCCTGACCCTCACAGTGGGAACTTTAGGCCTACTTGGTAAGATGAACTGCCTGTATGGGTCCGAGTTGGCGTGGACATGCATGATGGGTCATGATTGTACTCCAGAAGAAAAAACCTAGTTAGTGCTGTGTGCAGACTGTGTTGAAAGGCGCCTGTCTATCTCCAATCCCACATCCAACTTATCTTTCCATCCATATCCTACTCCACCCCCTATCATCCTATCCATCTCCTACTCCACCCCCTCCCCATCATCCTATCCACTTCTTTCTCTGCCCCCTCCCCATCATCCTATCCATCTCCTACTCCGACCCTCCCCATCATCCTATCCATCTCCTACTCCGACCCTCCCCATCATCCTATCCATCTCCTACTC